GGGGTTCATCGGGTTTGATTGAGCCGATTCCCAGTCGCGGCGCGTCCCGGCCGGGGCCCGGCGGCCCGGCCCAAGCCCGGCCCAGGCCCGGCGGCCGCGCGCGCACGGGGTGCCCCGGCACCGGCTCCGGCACGGCTGCACCCTCCGGGACCCCCCGGGGCCCCCCAGGGCTGCTGGGGCGGCAGAGAGCCAGGCCAGGGCTCGGCCGGCCAACAATTTGACGCGCCGCAGATAAAACTCGACGGGCCGTCCGGGTCCCGTCCGGGTCCCGTCGGGTCAGCAACTTCGGCGATTAACAGTTTTAATCGCTTCCTGCGCCTCTGGTCCCCGCCCAGCACTCCCGCCACCGGGGAGCGAGCGGGGGGCGGAGGGAGTTGGGGAACCCTGAGCGTTAGGGTGGGAAAAAAGGACAACGTTTCTTTTGCCTCCCCTACTCCCCGGTGGTGGCTGTTCTCACTGCAAACCTCGAATCCTTGTCGAGGCGTTGGTTGAGAAAGAATGTCACCCGAGCCGAGGTGTTGGGTTGCGGTTTAAGTTTTGTTTCGTCATACGGCGCGAGCAGCCACCACAGTGTGCCGCGCAGCACCGCACAAGGAAGGGCGCACTTTCTTACTGATGCAGGGTGAGGTCACCGCGACGGGCACCTCCGTCGTGTAGGGATGGAAAATAAGGCCGGTGATCGGGCCACGCGCAATGCCGAGTCAAGCGTGGCGGGGCGTGGCAAGGCGTGGCGGGGCGTGGCGAGTCGGGCCGTGCCTCGTAAGTTTTGGCTCGTCAGTGTCAGGAGCTGGGCTTAGCAAACTTTTGCCCCGCATAAACAGGCTGGCGTTAGGGCCGGGCGCAGGGCCACGCCGGGCTGGCGCCCCCAAACTACTATCTCCTGTTCGATCACTTTGATGGGAATAATCCTCGGGCGGATCATACCGCGCGGCTCAAGGGGCGGGCGCGGAGGACAGAGCCGTCTGCACGGCCAGGGCCAGGACCGCGGGAGCCGCAACGGGGAGGCCATGTGGAGAGGGAGGGGGG